ATTATTTAAGTGAGAGGGAGATAAACACCATATTATTTAAGTGAGAGGGGGATAAACACCATATTATTTAAGTGAGAGGTGGATAAACACCATATTATTTAAGTAAGAGGTGGATGAACACCATATTATTTAAGTGAGAGGTAGATAAACACCATATTATTTAAGTGATAAGTTGTGTAATCTCGAACACACTGTAGTTGCTTGAGGACAGACTGAAATATTACATATTAATGGATGATAAGTAGAGAAACGAAATGTGTCTTATAAACATGTAATGTCGATCTTATCCTGTTCATATGTCTTTACTCAACTGTTGATGTGCTTTTGAATTCTTACCAATTTCACTTATGAACTTCATAACCTTAGGGTTACCTGGTGTACAAATATTTTACACAAAAAATCTCTGTTTGTTTGGTTGGTTGGTTAACTTCACAAGACTCCTCTCCACTTCCTTTGACTTTTACCAGTTATTCTGTCATAGGGAGGGAGTGTTTTTAGACAGTAGGACTCCTAGAGAGATGTGGATTATTTATTGTACAACTTTAATTCACTTCCACAGAACACTCAAGGTTGAAATAATCTTCCGATTTTATTACCAGATGGCGCTATGGGTACACTAGTACAAGACTAAATGTTTGAAGTTTGAACGTTAATTTTGTTTAGTTGTTTTCGCATAAAAAACTTCACTAAAGGAAGAAAATACCAACAATTTTCCATTTATTATTATTATTTACGTTGGTCACAACGCCCTCTGTTAGAAGACTGAGTCACTAGTCCTAGTCACGTGAAGGAATGCCACAAAAAAGTTGTTAGTGTATGAAAATCAGGTTTACAAGAGCTAAAATTATTACGTTCTTTAGTACTGAGAATTTACGCGATAAAGGCTTAGTACGTCGTTAGCCGTGACTTCTAGAATAACAAAAACCTCGACGTCGTTCCATGCTCCGTACAACGATGTGTTTTTATTGAAACACCAAGCAGTTGAGATGTACAACGATAACACTGAAGTACATAGATGAAAGAACAGAACTGAACAATATTTTACTCAAGCTACAAAGCGTTAAATAAGTCTAATACAACAATACAGAATCGTACATCAGTACAAAATTGTTAAACTCAAGTAAATCGTTTGGTATTGTTTAACAGCAACGCGCTTGGTACGTAAGAAATAGGCCTAAATGTTTAACTTCAAAAACAGTAGTTTTTTTCAAGAAAATGGTGGATGTTACCACTGTTGTTTATTTTAATGGTTTATTTCAGAACTATAGGTGGATAATAAATAGGTTTATTCATGTTTTGAAAGTGTGTTTAGGGACAGTGAAATGATTGGTATCTTAATGGTCGATTAAACAATGAGTAGAAAAACAGTTCTCCTTATTTGAATTCGAATGAAGAATCAGTTAGTAGTATTTATTTAATGAAAGTGGTGAAATCTTCACTAGTGAGTAGAGCGCCATCTATTACAGATATCTGGAAATATAGAGTCTCGTTATATTTCTCACAGATTTCCATTTTAGGCATCTTTTTTATCATGTAGTTAGTAATTATCTTTAATGGTCTTGTTTATAAATATCACAATTATAACTCTTAGATATGTGTTTGGTGTAGATGGCTAAACAAGATTACCGTAAGGCATACAAACACATCGACAAAAGAGGGATTGCGAATTATACGGGTAAAACAACCAGTAAATACATTTTCAAAACCTGAATAAATGGAACCATATAATAAACGTTACAATTGTATAGTTTGGCCAATTTCTGTTAACTTTGAACTATAGTTTGTAACAAAAGTTATTATACCATTCACGCTGTTGATATAAATTACTGCAAGAACCACGTGCTCATGTAATAGGACTAAGAGGAATCCATCTATTCACGAACACCCTTGGTATTATTATACCTAAACACCTATCACGTTGAAATAGATATATAAATAAATAGTGCTCGTGTTAAAATATATCATTGGGGAAACATTTTTACCATAATGTTAACAAGCCAATCGGGACATTCAAAATTGACAATCATTAAGTCTTTCGCCAATGGGAACATTTATAAGTGACGATCATTAAAACGCAAACCAATCGGAGTATTTAAAATTGACGATCATTAGGAATGAGCCAATCAGAACACTTATAACTCACAGACATTAAGACTCTGGCAAATCAGAGCATTTAAAATTGACGATCATTAGGATTAAGCCAATCAGAACATTTAAAACTGACAGAAATTAATATAATAGGATTAGAAGTTGATTAAGAACAATGTGTTATTATTTTTATTGAGACACAAACCGGAAACGTTGAGTACATATCCTAAATTGTTTTATTTTTTAAAAATCGTTATTTTGTCCTATTCAACATCATCTGGGTAGAATGTAAAACATGATAAGAAACACTGAAGGTTTTTATTAGACGAATTTATTTTTGAAGTCTCGTAAATGACTAATATTTTGTTAACTTGTAATGATCAAGAAATAACAATATAACCATTCGGACTTGTAGTTTAATATAACCCTCCCTTCTCTGATTACTCGGAGCTTTGTATTTTATTTTTTAATCGTAAAATATTAGTAAATACGAATTAGAAACTTTGGGAACTAGTAGGGCTAGGATCAATACACTGCTAAGTGCTAATCTGGAAATAAAAACAATTAAGCATTACGATCACTAACGTACAAAACTGCTGCTTAGGCTTCGGGAAAACAACAAGTAAAACTGTGAGTTCAGGCAGCTCCAGCCAGGGGGCGCTACCAGAAACATCAGAAGTAGCAAAAGAAATTATTTGCCCCATCCTTGAAAGAGTCCTTGTCTTTGGCAGCGACAGTTAGTGCCCCAAAGGTTACATCGGCAAGAGGACCCTCCACAACAGGAATGGGGGCGGTTGTCGCAGCTACCACTTCTGGGGATGCAGCTTCTCCTGGAAAGATAAAATTATTTATTTTCTGTTCTTAGACTCTATAAATTTGTAAAACGATATTAAAAGTGGATTGAAACGTTGTTTCGGAAGATTAAGCTTGTGGACAATAACAGAAGAAGATGTCGCGTGAAATCAGCCAGACTTTGTGAACAATAACGGAAGATGTCGCGTGAAATCAGCCAGACTTTGTGAACAATAACGGAAGATGTCGCGTGAAATCAGCCAGACTTTGTGGACAATAACAGAAGAAGATGTCGCGTGAAATCAGCCAGACTTTGTGAGCAATAACAGAAGAAGATGTCGCGTGAAATCAGCCAGACTTTGTAAATAATAACGGAAGATGTCGCGTGAAATCAGCCAGACTTTGTGAACAATAACAGAAGAAGATGTCGCGTGAAATCAGCCAGACGTTGTGAACAATAACAGAAGAAGATGTCGCGTGAAATCACGACCAATTGATCGTCTATTGACTATTTTGTGATATTAAATTATTTCTATAGAATAACCAAAAAACTTCCTTCAAAAACCCGAGCGTGGCCTGTTGGTTAATGTAACGGACTGGTGATCCGGGGATCTCAGGTTCGAGTTGTGGTGCTCCCAAACAAAGCTTTGACTTTTAGTCGTGGGTGCGTTATGAGAATGGCAAAACATCCTGGTTGGTTCAGGCGGCGGGTGCTGCCGATATTTGCTCTCTCTCTCTGATCCGACGTTCAAAATTAGGGACGGCTATAAGTGACACCAAGAGGTCTCTGACCTGACCGTTTATCTCACTGTGTGTTTAATGTGTCATTTAAGAGAACAAACAAACCAAGTCTCCTTTATGATACTATACTTTATAAATTAATAAAAACCCTTTAACCCGAGCGTTTTCGAAAGATGGACCTTTCTTCTTCAGGGATAAACTGAGAATGGTGGTGTAATCTAATGAGTGATATATATATAAAGGTAGTTTAGTGAGGTCACCTGGTTTTCCAGGAAATGTTTAGTATATTTCTCAATGCACTGTTGTAAGCGTTCTGTCAAGATTTCTTGAACCTGCGTGTTTTTCTAATTTCTATCAAGACTGTAGAAACTAATTGTACGAGAAGGTCTTAGGGATTGTTGAACACAGTGTTGGATACATTGTATTACATCGTTGGATACATTGTATTACATTGTTGGATACATTGTATTACATCGTTGGATAGATTGTATTACATTGTTGGATACATTGTATTACATTGTTGGATACATTGTATTACATTGTTGGATAGATTGTATCACATTGTTGGTTTCTCCAATCAGACGTAATGTTCAGTGTTCATATCTCGTTCTTCAACCAAGTTCTCTACAAAGTGACTTTTCATGTATCTGTAATGTACTAGTGGTTTCTCCAATCAGACGTAATGTTCAGTGTTCATATCTCGTTCTTCAACCAAGTTCTCTACAAGTGACTTTTGTACATTACTGATACATGTAGTGGTTTCTCCGATCAGACGTAACGTTGTTTTTCACGACATTAAAATGTTTGTTTTGGTTTATTGCAAGACAAGACACTCTCGTAGAACCTGATAATTAATAGTTACGCGAACTAATTCTAAACTAAAATAATAAAATTCTTTACTTGTCTGCATAGGGCAAGACGTCCTGAAGCCGTTCTCTGTATGACTCCAGCTTGTTCTCCTCTGTAAAGATGCAAATATAAAACGGGTTATAACTTTAGTGGGGCACATTTTACTGTTACTATAGTACTGTCAACTTTGAAATGTTAGTTTTTATTGGATGATAAAATAATGGCAAACTTTAAATATTTATCAAAAGCCTATATTTATATTAAGGAAAACACAGTTGCGTCTAGATAAATAGATATTACCATCAAGGGAGTAAGGCGTGACAACGACTGTTTCCGCCAGGAGGAGAGCTCCCAAAATAAAACTCAGGACTAAGCAATTCATGACGTCAGATTCTGTGGGCGAAAGAAGTTCGTCAAAATCTTAATCGAAATTGATTTCACTTTTAAGGTTAAAAAAATCACACTTTTAAGGTTAAAAAAATCACACTTTTAAGGTTAAAAAAATCACACTTTTAAGGTTAAAAAATCACACTTTTAATGTTAAAAAAAATCACACTTTTAAGGTTAAAAAAAAATCATATCAACTTTTGATCAAAGCAAGTTTAGATCAAAATATGATTCAACTCAGTAATGTATACAGCTAATTAAATATCCTGTTTTTACGTTCTTTCTTATGAAGATTAGGATGTATGTTTTCACCAGATGGATTTCCCCACTATTAACGACACTTTCGTCCATAATCCCAGTAAGGTTTAATAAGATACACTTATGAATAAAGAAATACACGAGTAATCAGTTCGTAAAATAAATCAAGTCGCTGCTAATTCCAGAAACTACAGAGAATTATTTAAATTGGCTCCAGTTAATATTAACAGGTTATATTTTTTGCCTAGTTAATTCTTTCGATAATATTTATTCTGTGCTCGAAGGTCGTAAAAACGGTTGAAAACAGGGTTTCATTAGAATAAATTTCAGTAAAAAAAATAAAAAAAGTTTCCATAAATTAGCCTGACGCCTTTATTTAAGTTTCGTTTATTATTTTTAAATTTTCGAAAAAAAAATTTTTGTTTGTTTGAAAAGCTGCTACATAATAGGCTACCTGCACGGTGTATGTCGCAGGGATTGAACCCTAATATATATAGTGTTACCTTCCCGTAGAGTTACTGGAGGACATTTTAAGAATATATTCATGACTGTAGATCGAGTTGAATCTACAAAATTAAACCCCCCCCTTCAACCTGCGCACAAACAATAATGTTTTCAAACAAACACGCAGTAATTTGTTACAAACATTACCTTACAGATTGCTAGAAACTAGCCCTAATATTTACGGGAAACGACGTTTAAAGAAAACATTAGTAAGCATCTCTTTCTGAGCTGTTGTTGTCAACTTTCAAGTAAACCCGTAAAGTCAGTCCTCCATTACCCACATACACACAAACCACACAAACAGTTCCTAAAACAAGTAGCTCAGTGTTGTCCACAACAGCTTCTTAAATCCATATTACAGGAGCTCCTGATTTCGAAAACGGATGTTGCCTGGTAATTAGTGTGCTTGACTGTGAATTCGGCTGTTTACGTCACATTTTGGGTATATTATAAAAGTAGATATCAAATCCCAACTATTCGCTTAGAGGGGATCAGTAGTTGTTGTAGATTAGTTGTCTTCTACTGAAACTTAGATCGGAATTTTCCTTAAGAAGATATTCAAACAAATTACTTCATTTACAATTTTATGATACTTGCGAATATGACTACTAACCTCTGACCCTTGAGGGTTTATGACTCTAAAAACCGTGATTCAATACCAGCAGTGCACACAGCAGAGATAGGCCAATGTGTAGCTGTGTGCTTAAAACCAACATCACCCCACTGTAATGGATGTAGCGTGTATATATGTATCTATCTATGTACGTGTCCGAATTAATAAAAATAATGTGGCGCCATCTATTGAATGGCACCACAAATAAGCATCTATAAAAAATTCATTCTTTGGGTATTCATAATTCAGACAATTAAATAAATAAGTACAGTATGTGCAACAACCATTTCTTTATCACAGAACACAACTTGGAATAACAGTACTCTCATGACAACAAGAACACGACTTTCACTAGAACTGTACATGAGGGTTTGATTGTATTTTTATTGGCATAATTTGTGAATATAGTACTAAGAATGGAGTTTTTAAAAAATGTTATTTTTTCAATAAAGGGTACCACTTCTAATATATATATATATATAAACATTACGCTTTATATCAGCACAATCCAAGCACTTTTATCGTGCAGCACGTCTAAAAAAATCCTTTAAAAAAATTGTTTTTAATGAGTTATGAATACTACGATTAGTAATTACTTGCACAAACAGCCGTAGGGCGGCGTATCTGCTAGTAATATTATTTACAGCAAACGAAGTGGTTAATGTCAGGCAAGCCACGTGACACGTGCTTCATGAGACTTACATCAAATCAATAAGCTAAACTTTCCCAACACTGCGGTTTAGTTAAGGCTCAGCACGCAGAATGAGCTATTCGAATTAATTAATCAGCCAAGAATGTTAATTAGCACGACCGATTTTATAATCTCCCAGATTCAACTGAACAGTCAATCGCTATCGCTTCGAACGACTGTTGCCAAAATGAGTTTATCACGAGGCTCAGCATTGGTTCTAAACTTGGTTCGGAAATTGTTTCCATACTATGCTTAGTTTACCCGTTTCAATTGGATCTTTCATCAGCAAATTACATTAAATAACATTTGGCACAAAATGCTATTAAGTTAGATTCCTGTGGAATAGTCTTAGCACAAGAGAAGATGTCACTTTCATCAAACAATCTCTAACTGTTATAAGTGAACATTATTTGAACTATTAACGGTGAAAGGAGTTCTGGTGGATGTTTGATGAACTAAACAGGTTAACTAAACTATTGATGGTGATAGGAGTTCTGGTGGATATTTGGTGAACTAAACAACTGAATTGAACTGCTGAAGGTGGGGTTAACCTGTTTAGTTCATCAAACATCCACCAGAACTCCTTTCACCGTCAATAGTTCAGTTAACCTGTTTAGTTCACCAAACATCCACCAGAACTTCTGTCACCGTCAACAGATTAGTTAACCTGTTTAGTTCACCAAACATCCACCAGAACTCCTGTCACCGTCAACAGTTCAGATAACCTGTTTAGTTCACCAAACATCCGCTAGAACTCCTGTTATCTTAAAGTTGTTTAATTTTAAATTTCAATTTAACATTTGTGATAATATTCTGTAGTAATCTGTTATTTATTACGTCTGAACACAACATGTTTTCTTTTGTTCACTGAATTTGCACTTTTTTTTCTAACATATGTGTTTTTTTTTTATCGAATTTACTGTTCATGATAACAATTTTGTTTTGGCACATCTTTTGCTATGTTTGGTTACACCAAAACAAAAACAAAAGTGTCAATGAATTCAAATATATCCTGAGAGTAAAAGTAAGCAAAATGTTTATTAGCGAACTTTTTTCGAATTCATATATATATATATATATATATTCTCTTTCTGTTTTTCTAACCATAATATAAAAAATAATACTAATAACTAATAATGTCAAGAGACACAGCGTCATAAACCGTTCACGCACCTAGTGAAAAGCACTCCCATTACGCGCCCGCAGTCGACTCCATTAGTTTTTTACCGCTCGTGGCGCCATACAAACCATTTTAATACTGATATACTTCAGGGGTTTGGAAACACGCCAGGCAATTCTTCTCACGGTAAAAGCCACACGAAAATATTCAAGCAAATAAAAGGAATATTGACTGGATATTCAAGCAAATAAAAGGAATATTGACTGGATATTCAAGCAAATAAAAGGAATATTGACTGGATATTCAAGTAAATAAAATGAATA